GAAATAAAAGCCTTAGAGAGTCTAGAGAGGTCGAATTTTAAGTCCCAAGGCAACTGGAGTTCGATTTTATGGAGTTTTGGAGATCATTTTCTGATTCTCGGAAAGAATCTAAGTCTGGGGGAACAGCTGTTTACAACAAAGGAGGAAGGATTATGCAACAACATTTGGCAAGAAGAAGTGACTGAAAATTGCGGTCATCAACAGGTCCTTATCTCTCTTGCGGTTTTGTATATTATCTTGCATCCTCTAGATCTTCAGGTAACCCGAAACACTTAAACTCCACCACTTAAATAGCCCTTTAATGTCAAACGCCGTTTACCCTGGATGATGTCTTTAATGAGAACTCACTATTGAACTTAATGAATGTAGAGAGCTAGTTGACTGGAATCAAGATTTAGATTGTTTAAGTTTTGCATGACGGAAAAAGTGGACTAGTATCTCTTGTGCATTGGTGAGAATTTTCTAGACTAAGTTGTGGATTGATGCACTATCTTTGGTCCTAGTTTAGGAGTTCATGTCTATGAGATTTGTGCATTCCCTAATTTTGTTTTCACTTAACCAGTTTAGGCTTTTGCTTTGTTTGAGGACAAACAAAGGTTTAAGTCTGGGAGAGTTGATAACACCGTATTTTGACCATTTTTATGGATAATTTTGAAATACTTTTTCTATGTTTTTAATTGTTTTTAAGTACTTTTATTACGTTTTTCTAGTATTTGTAGTTCCAAGACTCTTTTCAGGTAACTTAGGGCAAAGCTTAACAAAATGGATAGAAAACCAGATTTCAGCTCAGAGTCAAACCGTCAGAAGTTCACCCCTGATTGAAGGCCTTCTCACCGTCCGATCCAGCTCAAATTTGGAGATCTTGATGATGGAAGTATCAGCTTTCCAGCACACTTTACAGCTTGGCAATCCAACGGTTCAATCAAAAGATACGCAAAGAGCAAGATGTCCCGTAAACCAGCCGGCAAGCATTTCCACCCGCGGCCAACAAGCGATTTCCTGCGGTCAGAAGCACCGCGACCGCGGCCAGCAACCCATTCCCCGCGGTCACAGCCCTCCCGACCGCGGCCAGCCATCTCCGAGCCCGAAGGCCCATTTCTGAAGTCCACAATGATTCCTTCATTTGGAGAAACCCTAAGTGACGCCCAGAGATATCATGAGTACTATAAATACATGTTTTAGGAAACCTAATTATAATCATCTATCATTACATCATATTTTTCTTATTGTTTTTGCTTTAGCTTTCAGGGAGAGAGATATTTGTCTCTTGAACCCTTGTTCTTTCTTTTTCAATTTCGGTTTCTATTCTACTTATTAATACTATGTTTTTGATTTCGTTCATCACGTCTGAGTAGTTTTATTGATGGGATTAAGAGATTTTCGATGGGGATTTATATGTTCGATGAGGATTCCATGAGCTTTTGAGCCGAATCTTAGAACTTTTTCTTCTGAATTCGTTTTTACTGCATGAGAGTAACGTCATGAACTACAATCTGATCCAGATGCTTGGTGACACAAAAGTGTTCATCCGGTGTCAGATCTAGTTTGGGAGAGCAAAACAAACATAGGAGTGGAAACCTACCTATGGGCGATTTGTGAATGCTGACGAGTCTTAAACATAATGCATCTCTTCTCTTCCAGGGCCAGAGTGGAAACCTACTGGTCAGGGTTGAGAGAGATAGTTGTCTATGATCACGACAGTGGCGTATTCATACGTCCCTGACTCCAGTTCGAAAGGTTTAAGCTAAGATCTTATCAATTTTACTCTCTAGCAATGTTTTGAATCGTTCGTACCCCTGAGAAAACTTCCCTGAACCCCAACGCTTTCTTCCTTATAGATTCACACCGTTTTTATTTCAAGCTTTAGTTCAATATTCCCATTCCTTTTTAGTTAATTTTCATTTAAGCAATTAGAATATCCTTTTTTTCTCATTTTTATCCATTTTCGTTAAGTTTAGTTATTAGGCCATTTAATTCCCGTAGTTTCTTTTTTGATTTCGTTTTTACATTTTAAACATACCACCAAAACCCCCACAAAACCGTTTGGTTCTAGACTTCCTTACTTTATATTTCTTTCAAAGGCTTTTGCAGGAAAAGATCCTCCTTCCCTGTGGATTCGATCCCTAAGTACTACAATCGAGCAGCTGTGCACTTGCGGCTATTGATTTCATTTAGGGTAAAACTTGACAACCCTCGACACACACACACCACGATCACCTGAAAAGAGTCTTGGAACTACAAATACTAGAAAAAAGTAATAAAAGTACTTCAAAGCAATTAAAAACATAGAAAAAGTATTTTAAAATGATCCATAAAAGTTGTCAAAATACGGTGTTATCAGACACTAGAATATAAGACAGTTTCTTAATTTAAGCAAATGGTGAAGTTTGTTTGTGACTAATGCCTAAAACAAGATTAAAAACTAGAACAAAGATTAATGATCAAATAAACAAGCAAGCAAATACAACTGATCAAGATGAGATGATATGAAATGATGGGAGCATGAGATTCTAGACATGATAGTTGGCTAGGGTGCTTTGGTGCTAAACTAGAAATGCTAATGACAATGATGAGACATGAATCAAATGATTTAGAACTCTAATCTAGATTAATCCTCTCATGAAGGCATTAACCTCTACACTAATCCATTTTCAAACCAAATCATCATTTGTGAAATATGAATCAATGAGCATTGAGAAACAGTTCTAAAAGATCATCTAAGCAATTAACAAACATCATCATGGCATTAAATGCAAAGATCTCTAACATAGCTCTTTCAGGCATTTCATCAAACACTTTTGGTGCATGAAATGCCTAAAATCTAAACCACATATGATGTGTATGGATCTAGCCTAGAGATCAGCTATTTAGAGAAATGAAATCATGAATCTAGCCCTAATCTAACACTTTAACACCCTAACCTACACATCTAGAACCTCATTAAGGTGACTACTCACTAATCATACTAATCTCTCTTAAACCATTGCAAGTTGAGAAGATTGGCATGATTAATGATGAGAAATGGAGAAAGAAAAGATGGATGATGATGGATTTGCAGCTTTAAACACAGAAATCTCTGATTCTCTCTTGATTAAGGGCTTGACTTGTTTAAACGCAGCGGTTGCGGTTGCGAGTGCGGGAGTTTGCAGAAGCGGACGATTGCGGTTTTGACTGTTATTTAGCGGTTTGCACGACTGGTTAAAATTTTTAAGACGGATCCATTTGCGGAACATTTTTGACTGGTAAACCAGCGGTTGTTTTAGCGGGTAAACATAAAATTACCAAAATAAACATCATATATAATTATAAAAAAAAAACAGAAAAACTATATTATTATGACTAATATCAAAATCACTAGTTCAAAATAATTAATAAAAATTATAAATAAATACTAAATAATTATTTTAAAAACTAATAAATTTTATAATAATATGTTTTATTTCAATTATTGGGAACATCACCCAATATTGTGTCTAGTAATGTAATAGACTGAAACAATTTGCTCCAATACGTGGATCTTCTGGATTTGTCTTATGCATGATGTAAACTTCTTCAATTGATCTAATCAATTTTTTGCACGTGGATGCTAGCACCAGGGCCTGTAAAGTCGATGTCACGGTCGGTGTTGAAAGTATGGGTTCGACGATGGAGCTGGCACCGGCTTGCTTCTGGCCGATGTCTTTGCCGATGCTGTGAAAAGGTTAGTTCGCTGGGTTAAGGACCGAGGTATAAAGCGCCGGTGTGGAGGCCGGTGTGGATGAACTGGTTAAAACGGAGCAAACTACACCGAGGTGCTCTTCTCCGATGTTGTGGTCGGTGCTGGAGTTTTAGCTGGAACGGGTGGAAATTCACCGGGAAGCTTTTGGTCAATGTTGTGCCCGGTGCTGGTGAAGTGTTGAACGAGTGGAAAATACATCGAGGTACCTTTGGTCGGTGTGGGAGTCGGTGTTGATCTTTAAGCACAGAACTCTCAAGGTAAGTTTCAACAACGAGCACAGTCTTCCCGGTGTCAAGGAACTCACCATACATAAACTGTCACAACTTCCTGACAACTGTTCATAATCCAGATTTCCAGCTCCAGTAGACAGATAACTCACTCAGCCCCAACTTTGATGCGCTTGGGAAGTGGAAGGTTTCCTGGACGGCTCATCTCTGTAGTGCATTGAAACGATCAAAAGGAAGCTCTTGGACCAATGTCCACTCCGGCGATGATATCTTTCAGCACACAGCACCAAAGTGGATGAACTTAGATGTTCTCGAAAGAGAGCTCAAAGATCTCGAATCTTGATGAAGACCCCGGCAACTGAATCAGAATGGAAAGGCATCGTCCCACGAAATCTTTGTAACTCATCGGACAGGTGTGCCTTCCGGTGAGCTTAACTCTCTGCTCACGACTCCAAATCCAATGATTCTACCTGTTCTGGATCCGTGACTTGGTAATCTTCAACTTTACTGAATACCCTGTAATCTGAATCGGACGTTAAGACTCCCCGGACAGGCGATCTTTCCAGACGTATGGGATTGCTCCGGAACGGATGCGAGAGAGATCTGTCTTCCGGTGACCGTATATTTCGGCTCGGTGCTCCAAACTCGTCGATTCTAACTGTTCTGAGATCTAGACTCCATTGTCGTGATCTTTGATTAAGACCCCGGAGGCTGAATCGCACTGCAAGTCCTTCGTCTCACGCGATTAAAGTAGGGGTCTCGTCGGCACCAAACCGTCCGTCCGAGTTGCTGTACACAGGTGAGGGTTCCTCCATGATCCCAGCTCCAAGTTGCTCCCAAAATTCTCCAAATGACCTGAGAATACTCCAAAAATGCAGAACACTCTATGACCTAATGCAATTCTTAAACACATCTAGAACCAAAGACAAACTCTAATAAAACTAGCTAAATGTATGCATGAGACTCAATATTTGGACAAAAATGCAATCCTAAACATGACAAAATATGAGTATATCAACCCTCTTCTCAGAAACAAGGTAATGCTTGACCCTTTGTCAATACACAACAAAACCCTTTCCATCCTTTCCCTCCAAGACTAATGCTCCATAGCTTCTAACCTCTAAAACCCTGAATGGTCCTGACCATCTTGACCTTAATTTACCAGGGAAAAACTTGAGCCTTGAGTTAAACAAAAGAACCAGGTCTCCCACCTTGAACTCCCTCTTGAGAATTTTCTGATCATGCAAGATCTTGGTCTTTTCCTTGTATATCATTGCACTCTCAAAGGCATTGAGTCTGATTTCTTAAATTTCATGCAACTGGAGTACCCTCTTATCTTGAACTGTCTTAATGTCAAAGTTCAACATTTTAACAGCCAAAAGAGCCTTGTACTCAAGCTCTACTGGTAAGTGGCAGCTCTTCCCATACAACAGATTCAAAGGTGATGTTCCAATGGGAGTCTTGTAAGCAGTCCTATCGGCCCAGAGAGCATCATCCAGCTTCTTGCTCCAGTCTTTCCTTAAGTTGCTCACTGTCCTTTCTAAGATGGCCTTGATCTGTCTGTTTGAGACCTCTACTTGGCCACTGGTCTGAAGGTAATATGGACTAGCTATCTTGTGCTTGACACCATGCTTTCTTAGCAGCCCTTCCAGAGTCTTGTTCACAAACTGAGAACCTCCATCACTTATCACAACTCTAGGAACCCCAAACCTTGGAAAGATGATGCTTTTGAAAAGCTTGACCACCACCTTAGAGTCATTGGTTGGGGAAGCAACAGCCTTAACCCATTTGGAAACAAAATCCACAGCAACAAGTATGTGATTCCCATATGAGCTCACAAAAGGACCCATGATGTAACAACCCGTTCATTGAGTAAGCACGGACAAGACCGCGGTTAAGTGCTGAGTCTGGAACGGACAGAGACAGTTAGATTCTGCCGAGAGAAGCAACTTTGGTCGAGCAAGAAAGGATTTAGCCGAGGGAAATAAAAATTCTGCCGAGAAAATTAGATTTTCGCCGAGGAAGCATGAGCGAGTCAGATTATTGTACAAATGGGGAAATTTGATGGAGGTTATGTGCGGATAAGAACAGATGTGGCTGGTTTCTGTCCACACATTTGGCGCTGGATTAAGGGTGATTAGTGTTAGGTCTGATGACTAAGGTTTAAGAATTTTTGACAAGTGTTTAGCATGTGGCAAACATGCAAAACCTCCCTCAACTTATAAATACCCCTCCCTTAAGCTCAGGAAATTCATCTCAAAATCTGAGAATTCTTGAGAGAGAAAGTAGGTGGGGGAATGAATCTCTTAGGTTCTGATTCCCTGTAGAGAGCGTAGGCTAAGCGGGATGGTACAGTCGAAGACGGGCCGATTGGCCTAGTTATCGGCTAAGGGATTGCAGCTGCTGTCATAAATCTATCTCTTTTCCTTACCTGGGAATGCCTAGCCATGGATGTGAAGTAAGTAGGTTGATAGCCGCCTTGCTCCTTTGTATACATGTCGAAGGGGTAGCTGTGGAGCACTCCGGTATTGCTGCTCATGGACCCACGTGAAAACGCGATACATCGCATGGATTTTCATGCGCGGGTTTTTGTGTTGTGATGCGTCGACAGGTTTCGTCCGAAACCGGTTAGTCACCATTTCCTCATGAATTGCATAAAGTGAAGTGCAACTAGGAATTTCATAAGAAAAGAAAGAGCGTCTAGTTTGGAGTCAACTCTTTCGACTGACAACTAGCAAATTCTTTGACTCAGATGAGCAAAGATTTTGCGTTACTTTCTTGAAAAAGAATCCAAATCACTACTGTTCAGGAATTTCTTTGATGAAGCTGTTTAGCAGTATTCCTAGTGTTGCTTCTTCCTCCATACTGGTCCCGTTCCTTCCTGCTCTGCTAAAATTTTACAATTTTAAGAAAATTTCCTTTTCCATTGTAAAATTACTTGAAAGGGCCTTTTTTCAATATAAAAATAAAAAGACTTACGAAGTTGTTCCAACTTATTGATTCGCACTAACCCTAGATCCTTACTCCTGCGAAAGGAATAAAAACTTTCTATTTTCCTCGAGCTCCATCCTGTACTCTTTTTTATATAACGATACATCCAATACCAATGATCTGTGCCTAGAATGCGTTGCTAGATCTCTGTTCTAAAAAGCTATACAGGCAACAAGAAAGTTGACCGGGGGCGGGTCTTCCCTTTCATTACTTATATTTCACGACGAGGGAACCGCGCCCGCATCAGTCGAAGTGGTGCCCTCCTCTAAAAAAGAAGGTTTCAGTCTCATTCAACCAACTCTCTTTTTGAAGCAGATAGTTCACGAGATAATTGAGTAAGTTAAGATAGATGTCACAATTTGAACCAAAGGCCTTTTGAGTGATTAGTCTGCTAGTTTCTTTGATCTTAGTCGGTGTTAATTATTCCTTTTCACCAACAAGCTCAAGGGAACCAGCACCAAGACCGACCTCAGGTTAATCCACCACAGCCCCACCCAAACCCACCCATACGTCATCAGCCACCACCAGTGTTTGTTGGTGAGAATGACCGAGCTTATGCACACCAGTATGGAGCAGGAATCAGGCCACCTCCTGTCCAAAACAACAACTTTGAGGTGAAGGCCTCTTTGATCAATATGGTTCAGAATCAGAAGTTCCATGGCTTACCAATGGAGGATCCCTTGGAGCATCTGGATCAGTTTGACTGAGTTTGTGATCTCACTAAGATCAATGGGGTATCTGAAGACAGCTTCAAACTGAGATTGTTCCCATTCAGCCTTGGAGATAAGGCACATCAGTGGGAAAAGAACCTCCCAAGAGGATCCATCTACACATGGGAGCAATGCAAGATTGCCTTTCTATCCAAGTTCTTCTCAAGCTCAAGGACTGCAAAGCTAAGGAACCAGATTTCCAGCTTCACTCAACATTTTAATGAGACCTTTGGAGAAGCTTTGGACAGGTTTAGAAGCTACACAAATAAGTGTCCACATCATGGCTTTTCAGAAGCCTCTCTCCTTAGCACTTTGTATAGAGGAGCTGTTCCTAAGATCAGGATTCAGTTGGACACAGCATCGAATGGAAATTTCTTGGCAAAAGAAATCAATGCAGCTATGGAACTTGTTGAGAACTTAGCCATGAGTCAAGACACTTATGGGGAAGATTATGATAGAAGCTATAGAGGAGAAGATTCTGGTAGACACCAAGAGCTGGAAGAGAAGATCAAAGTCCTGAATATCAAGCTTGACAAAGCCCTAGCTGCCACTCAAAAGCCTATAAACTATGTGAGTGAGGAAAAGAGATGCTTCACAAATACTAATGAAGAGGGTCTCACTCAAGAGGAGTTGCACTTCATTGGGAATCAAAACAAGTTCAATGGTTACAACAACTTCAATAAACACCAGAACTTGTCCTATAGGAGCAACAATGTGGCCAACCCCCAAGACCAAATATACCCTCCTCAAAGCTTTGTTCAACAGAATCAGTACCAAGGTAACTCCCAAGGTCAACAGGGTTTTCAGCAACCAGCGGTTAAGAATCAAGGGAATAGCTTCACAAATCAAGTCAGCCTACAACAAAGGCCACCACCTCCTGGTTTTGCCCCACCACCTGTTCAACAAAGTCCTGATTTCAATGTTGTTCTCCAACAGCTCTGAATAGGACAACAAAAGATGGTATCCGACCTGGAGACACTAGGAGCTGAAATAAAGGCTATTAAAAAGAACAAGGGCATCTGCACTTTTGAACAACAAGTCTCTCTTCCTGGTAAAGCTCTTCAAAACTCAAAAGATTACAGCAATGCCATCTACTGCAATGATGACCATTCAGCTGCTGTGCAAGAAATAGAAGACCTTTTCTATGGTCAAGTCTCTAGTGAACCTGCACAAACTCATGTGGATGAGAATGCCATTATAGAGGATTTCATGGGCTTCTTACATGAACTCAATGAGGACATTGAGAATGAAAGTGTGGGGGCAGCCGGTTCAGTTTTTTCTGTTCAGCAAGGGAATGATTCAGTGTCTATTGAAACAAAGGAGCTGCCAACTGGTCAAGCAAAGCCAACAGATAGTGCCTCCACCTCTGAATCAACTCAGATGAAACCCACCTCCCTCCCAAAGCTAGGCAATCTAGGGAAATTCACTATATCTTGCACTCTTGGAAACTTTAGGGTTGAGAATGCTTTGTGTGATTCAGGATCAAGTGTTAGTATAATTTCTAAGGACATGATGGAGAAGCTAAAGGTCAAGTCTATAACTTCCTACCCTTCTTCTATCACCTTTGGAGATTCCTACTCCAAGAAACCATATGGGTTTTTGGAAAATTATCCACTACAGGTTGGTGAATGCATAATTCCCACTGATTTTGTGATCATGAAGATGAAGAAGACCAAAGAACTCCCCCAATTGCTTGGAACTTCATTTCTCAACACCACTGGTGCAATGATTGACTTTGATACTCAAAGAGTGGTGCTTTGAAAGGTGGATAAGGATGTATTTTACCCTGTTACACCCCTTTTGGCTGAATTTTGTGGATCAGTTGTTCAAGAGATATAACCCCCTAAGGTACTTGAGATGAAGTATGTGGGCACTGCTGGAATTCTACGTGGACCCCAATTTCTTTCAGCTTTGGAAAAGGAGAGAGACCCTCACTCCAATGGTTACAAGTATGAGAATGGAGGGTCATTGATCAGAGAAGAAGACATCTTGCTCTCATGGTCTCCTACACTTAGTGATCTAAGGATGATTAACACCAAGAGTGATGGCTCAGCATCAGAAGACAAGAGTATTGAACCTACTCTTTCTTCCCAAGACTTTGATCTCACTCCTTGGATTGATGATGAGGGATCTCTGAAGTATAAGCTAGATTGCAATGGGAAACCAGGTCTGTTTGCTGAAGTGAGGGCTTGCCTCACAAAGGCCATCTTTGATAAAGACCCAGATGGTATTAAAGAGCTGGTGGACAAAGGTCTCAAGATGGGATCTCAAGGACAAGGGTCTAATGGTTCCCAAAGGCAGCAACCCAACTCAGCTTTCTTGCTCAGGACCATTGAAGTGCTGAAAAGCATCAGTGCTCAACCTCACCCCAGCTAAAAACAGGTTTTTCAAAGTCAAACTTAGTGACTTAAAACAAAGTGCTCTTGGGAGACACCCCAAGCTTATCCTTGTATATAGATCTTTTTAATCTCTTTTTTAGTGTTTTTAGAATATTTTGATGGGTTTGCTAAGTGATCTCAGGTTCTAGAAAGTGTTCTTGCTCAATGGTTTGAAGGAACAAGTGCAAAGAGGAGCTTAAAGGTGGCGGCCTAATGATTTAAAGGAGCAATGAACTTGAGACCTAAGCCAAGCACCTCGTGATGATCATTACCGAGGTCTCAAGTTTGATCTTCAAGGGACCAAGTGCTACGTGATGCCTCGGGAGAGTCCAAGCCGATGTGATCTTGAATCTATACCAAGGTGCCCTTGCAACAAGCCCAGAAAACAGGCACCCTCGGCATCACTACCTCGGGATTGCTATACCAAGGGGTCCCTGAACGGCAATGACCAAAGAGGAACGCTTGAGAGACTTGAGTCAGAGCAGAGGTTTCAAAGCACCAGCATTCTCCTCCATGTCCAATGCCTCCATTCCATCATGAACAAGTCTGGTAACTCTCCAAACTCTTTGTACATATGCATCTAGTTCTTAATTTTTCATTTTGTATTTTTCTTGCTTTTGCCTTTCACTTCTCTCTTATGCTTTTATAACATAGGGGACTGTGTTATTTAAGTGTGGGGGAGGAGTTTAGTGTCTACTAATCATGTTTTCTCTGTTCTTATTTTCTCTTTTGCATTTTGAGTCTCATCTAGTTGCATCTAAATGTATATAA